CTATACACAGACTGAAAAGTACTCCAACTTGTATGCTGAGTAAAGCTACTTTTTATTTCCTAAAACCTTAATATGAGCCAGCGGATTCTCAGAGAACTCAGGGAACACCTTGAACAGTATGACAAGGAGTGTGCACAGCCTCATCTCACACCCTGCTTTTCCAGCAATGCTACCTGATGGAAAAGCCAAGACATCAGACTAGGATGGCCATAAGATGTACCAACCTTTGGAAGAACAAATAACGCAGCTCAGAATCTCTCTTCCCTGTCAATGCATGGATGCAAAACACAACATTTTCTTAAGGCAAAGGTGTTTTTCCTTTTATTTCCAGAGGGTCATATTGAAGCAATAAAAAATTAAGAATCATCTCTCATGATAGCTCTTCCAATAGTTTTTTTTTTTTTTTTATTGGAGCATCATTGGTTTATAACACTGTGGATGACTCAGAGGGAGAGGATCACACCTGTCAGATGCATGTGACCACACCACATCCACCAGCAAGGCACCCACCACCCTCCACTGACTTATTCACGTGTGGAGTCATGCTGAGTCTCCCCTATGATGAGGTACAAGAGATATGGGAGCAAACAAAACACACAAAGTTCCTGCCCTCTTGGAACTGACATCCCAATGGATGAGCAGCTTCCCCATCCAAATGAAGAGTCAGCTTTCCTAGGTTTCCATTCTTTATCCTAGATTTCTCTTTTTCGAGAAAATCTGAAAACATAGGCACAGATGGAAGAAACCAAAGGTACCCAGGAGAGTTAGGACACATCTCCAAGTGTCAAGAGTCAGACTGTGTAGTGTAGTCATGAAAGTCAGTGATCTGTGGACCCAAGTTACTTCCAACCTTTGGAAAAGATACCTGAACAGTACACATACTCAGAAGCATGTTCATTTAACACACCACACTTCCCTCTCTCTTTCTCCTTATCCCCCCACAAGCATTGCACCCCTCCAATACCTACAGATACACAACAATATATAAACTGCAAAACTACACAAGTATGGAAACCATGATAGAAAACCCATCGTGTCCAAAGAAAAAAGACTCACAAACATTTGCAAGGACATGTCTACACAAACATACCTATTACCATATTTTACCTATAAGACAATGGCCACAATTACAAGCAAGAACATACATGCCCAAGCCCCCTCTAACACAGGCTGTGATTTCCAGCCCAGCTGCCCCTGGAGCTGCTCTACCCATCACTCTGGTAAGGTTCTGAAGATTAAACAGCCAGTAGCCCACTTCATATATGTGCCTGTAAACAAGAGGGCTCAGCTTTAAATAATTATGTCAAAGAAATGACAACTGTGCTCTTTGCCAGAACAGGGATGAATAATTACAAAGCCAGGACATAATTAAGTAATTCTGACTGTCGGTTTCTTGAACTGTCTCTCTGATGTGCACGGCTGGTGTGCCCACCACACACACCCTCCTGGACAGACCTCTGTGTCGCTTTGATTTATATTTCCTAGTGCACCATGAGGGGGTCACGGTCTGATCATTGCAGAGGCCTTTCTTTAGGGCCTCAACCTTCTCTGCATCCACCTTGGTGCTCACTACATTGCCTATTCGACAAAGATACAGTTTATTTAAAATTCTGGAAATGAGCGAAACCTAGCTGTTGCAGGTCCATTAACTAATCTCTCTCTCTCTCTCTCTTTTCTCTCTCTCTCTCTCTTTCTCTCTCTCTCTCTCTCACACACACACACACACACACACGCACACACATGCACAGTTGCTGAAAGCAGACACTGTAACATTAGCTATCACTTCCTAATGAGTGACAGCATCTTTCTAGAACAATCAGCACTCAGACAGAAGGCAGTTTTTAAACAACAAAATCCAAAAAAGGCAGCACTGAAGTAGAAACGAGTCATTGTGAGAAAAGGCAAGTGAGAACTCACACTCAAGTGCCAGAGTCTGCCAGGTACCAAATCAAACCTGAGTGACACTGGGGGGTTATTAGTTCCTAAGTAATTTTGCATTTGCATCAGCTGAGAACACCCAGACTGCCTGTTCCCTCCCTGCAAGGCAACGGCTGTGATTGGAGAGGCATTTTCCATTCCCCCAAATACTTTATGTCAGGAATAAAATGAAAACAGCTCTCCAAATCACGGCCCCCTTGATCATCCATCAGAGCATTCTGCTGAATAAGCACAACAGGACGCTGCTGCCTCAGAAGGGACAGAAGCCAACTTGAGATTCCGATTCCTTTATGAAAAATAGGTCTTCACCAAGTGTGCTCAGCACAGCATCGGCAATTCATGGAGAGGAAATTGCTCTCCACTTAGAAGTCGACTCGGGGTGTACACATACCTCCCAGAACATACATATGTATATATACACAGAGACAGAAAGCATATATACACACCTGCATGGGAACAAACATATGTCTGCACATACTGTGAGCAGGCGACAACCAGCTTTTTTGAACACCAATTTATTAATTCAGCAAGAAGCTCATTTGCCTTCTATCTGCAAGAAAAGTACCAGTGCCTATTTCTGAAAACAACAGACAAAAGGGAATTGCCTGCCATTCAAGACAAGCATATAGTTTGTGACAAAACCAGAAAGACAGCAAAATCCACTGCTGCGTTTAAAGGTCATGCATAAACAGAACATGTAAAGCTGAAGACCAGACCCCTGCGTTGTGGCCTCAGTTCTGCCTCCCCAGCACTGTGTGGCCTCAGGAAAGTGCATCCTCCCCCAGTCCCTTCATCCATAAAATGACACGATGGACCAGATGTTTCTGAAGCCCTCTCCAGTTTGGACACCATGTGACTCTACAAAGAGAACTGAGGGGCCCCAAGCTTTGTCCAAGCATTTTTGTCCCTCCTTAAATAATTAATGGATATTTTTAAGTGTAATACAGTTAGTAAGGATATTAGAGTCAATCACACCGACATGAGCTAATTCTATAATTGATTAGAAACTAATTGGAAGCTTTAAAGAGCATTTTTGCTGAGGTTGCTAATGACTCAGAGAACCAGCTACTACTGGATTCCAAGGAGCCAGACACACTCACTTTCAATGGCAGGAGAGGTTTTCAATTCCCCCACCACCTCTGCTCTAACATAACAGTCCCACTTTTACCTGTTTTCCTTATTTAGGCCTTCCTATGAGGTTTTGTTTGAACAGAGAGATGCACGGGGGAAATTTTTAGCTCACTGCTACAGGATGAAGAAATCAGAGTGGTAGGATAATAGGCTCTGTAAGCACACATGCAGGTAGAGCTCCAGCAATTACCAGCAAGCTAACTGTGGCCTCCAATTAATGACCATAGGCCTGAGTTATCTCTTCTGTAGAATAATCCAGAGCTCCCTTCCCTCTTCATTATGGGGTTATGTCAGGAATCACACACCTCCATACAAAGATCTTAGGAGAGTGGCAGTTACCTCCTGAGCACCCCATTCAGAGATGATGGGTATTATATTTAGTCTCTTTTTAGATTTCCAGTGACAATGAAGAGCTTCCCGTGTCAAAGACAATGAGAGTTGGAGAAATATTGACCTATTCTATGAAGTATATGTTACATGAAAGCAAGAAATGTAGGATGGGCAGGAAGCCAAGATATTATAAACAGTTCATTTGTTGTACTATGTTTGGTTTGGTGATGTTGACTTTCTCTGAAATCTTTTCAGCCCTCCAAAAAAAAAAAAAGGAGGCCAAGAAATAAATTATTTCATTTGGACAAAATTACAAAAGCTGGAATAACTAAAGGCAGTCATGAGCAATATATCAAACCTTTGCCTCGATAAGGAGAACTGTTAACACTTTAATAGCTATGAAACGAATCACTCAATTAATTTCCCACATGCTGAAACAGGTAACAATACATTTATCTGCCATTATTATACCCTCCATATCATATATTTCCACAACTGTTAACAATTTTATTCGGCATAACGGGAAATAAGTTGCACCTCATGGATTCAGGGAAAGAAAGTGGCCTGAGGTCTGCTGCTAGCCGAGCAACTTGATGGAAGAGGTTTCATTTTTCTGCTTTGGTTCTGTTTGTTTTTTTCTCTTTCCCTCTTAATCATTTCCAATGCATGTGCAGAGCACACTAAGTCAGTAAGTGAGAACAAACTGGGCCCCTGGAAATACTGGTCAATGTTTCCAACACACAAGCTAGGATGCCACAGAAAGTGACTGTGTAGCTCCATGGAACTTCAGTAGCCCTAATGGATGTGCAAAGAGGTAATCAAGGGTCATCAAGTCCATTTCCTAACCTCAGACTTTACTTAATGATGCCAACTCCTCCCAAAGAGATAGTTGTCCATGTTCTTACATATCACCCTCTGTCTGAATCCATGACCCAAAGCCAAATCACCCCTAACCCATCAATACTGTCATTCAAATGACACCAAGTTCACTTACACAGCCTCGATGTAGAGTGGTCAAGGAAAGGTAAGGAAACATTAATCGCATGAGCATCAAGAGCTCCATGGGGAGAACACACACCAATCCAGAAAAAGTGATCTTTACTGTTGATGATATTTCAGAAAACTGTCAAGCCTTCACCTCTGGCAGGAAGAAAATCACTCTCCACTACCTCTCCTTTGGTACCAAGAAGAGTACTCAGGAGTTAGTCTCCGAGTAACTAGAGGAGTCCTATCCATCCAGGAAGCAGTAAATACCCGTTTTCCTCTCTCTCCTTTTGCAACTTCAGGTCTTCAGACACCCTGCATTATAAACAACCCATCTTCAAGGACACCTGAAATGCCCCCCAGGAGTATCACAGATGGGCTGTGTATAGTGAAAGAGCCACCTGGCCCAAATCACCTTACAAATAAGGTCCCCTTAGACTGAGCACAGGAAGAACCAGCTAATACCCAGTCCTACACCTCAACAGTATAAGCTTAGATGAAAACCTGGTGCATACATCCTGTATTCCGAACGCAGAGAAGGACATCTTCATGCACTGAGGAAGAACCAGTGAGATGAGATAGAAATCTGTGTGACAATGAGGAAGAAGATAACTTACTGTGGGCTTCACCACTTTCATGAACGCCCCTCTGAGCAAAGCCTCCTCCCGCTCTTGTCTGGTTACTTTCCGGGCATCCAGAAACTTCAAGTTGGGCAGCTTGTGCAGAACAAAGTATCTGGAAGGCAAAAGTTGGAAACTACTCAGGAAGGTTGGGGTGAGACCCTCAAAGAAACATACAATCTGTCTGAGGCTCAGAAATTAGGTCTTCAGAAGTTTATATCTTAGTTACTGCTTATATAAATCTTTAAAAAAAAAAAAGTTATTTATTTTGCATACAAGATCTGGGGTATAGGCCCAGAGGTGCAGCGGGTGAGAGGATTCATCAGAGACAGAGTAGGGAGCAGAACAGGCAGATCTACTGAAATACACTGCTGAGGGGAGCAGAGGGCAAGACAGGAGAGGTCTGCTGCACTATGTGGGTTAGCTTCCTGGCTGGGGATCGAACTCAGGCCTCAGAGGTGATAGCATTATAGTGCTGAGTTAACCCCCAGGGCACGAGGGAGGCCCCTTAACTTCTCTTCTTTCACAAGGAATGAAATATCACTCTTTGGGGAATGTAAACTGTTATATTTTATACAGACACACAACTAAACTTGAAAAACATACACTAATGGGTTCACTGATTCAAAGACAGATATGCATGTACATACACATACACACTCTCACACACAGAATTAACTGTTATGGTTACATAGGTGATTTCTTCCTCCATACATTCTAAAAAATGAACCCAGCTTCTTTGCTAAATGGGAAGTTCTCAGATAAATTAACCTATAACCTGGGCCTCCCCTGGTGGTGCAGCAGTTAAGCACTGGGCTGCAAAGCTGCCCTCAGCCTCTGCAGCGCTGGTTTGATCCCTGGCAGCCGGCGAGGATCCCACATGGTGCAACAGATCTCTCCTGCCATGCCCACTGCTCCCCTCAGCAGTGTATTTTGTCAGTCTGCCTGTTCTATTTCCCACTCTGGCTCTGGTGAATTCTCTCACCCTCCCGTGCTTCTGACTGTACCCTGTGCCTGTATAAATAAATAAATCTTAAAAAAAAAAAATTAACCTCTAACCTGACCAAATCACTATGTCACTGCCATTCCTGTGGGTCATCTGTATCACTCTCATCTCTGTAATAACAATTAACGATCGATTTGAAAGTGAAATAGGATTCCTCGACTTGCCATCAGGACAACAAACTAGGACACATGTTGTAATAATGTGGATGACTTTGGGATAGCATTTAGGAACACATATGGCTAAGAAATGCTGCTTGAAAACCAAACAGGGTTCCCAATGACCCCTGTTTCCTATCATCACTCAGTTCCTTCCACACTGACAATGTGAAGATTATCTTTCCTACAGTAACAAGTAAACTTGGTTTTGAAAGGATATTAATCGCCCAACAAATATCATGAGCTAATCATTCCTCTGGAGGCTTTGATACTCACTGTGATAAACTGCCCTCAAGCAGGTAGATAAGGAATTATTTCCATGAGAATCTATCATTAACTTTCTGTATCCAGTTTCGTCAATATTCACTCATCTTCCAAATTCCAGTCCCCAATACGTTTTCTTCTGTACCTCCAGCCCACACTGCTTTTGTCCTACTCACTGTCAGCACCATACAATCTAACAACTGATTGTTTTAAATCGCTTTACTGGTGTTCAGTTGATGTCCTCACCTAAAGTGTATGCTTAATGAAGGCAAGGTTCAGTATTTTTGTTCACCTTAATGCCATCTAGGAAAACAGCACTGGCATGGGCTCAGTAAAATACAAGTTCATTTCAGTTGTCCAAATATTTCTTAAGCACCTATAATATGCCAGGTCCCAGGTATCAAGAGGTGATTACAATATGGTTCCTGCTCTTAATGGGGTTCTCAGTGTAAACGGACAAGAAATTCACAGAAAGAAATTAGAACCCAGCATAGCCAGTTGCCAAGAATGAGGTTAGTCACAGCTATTTTGGAAGCAGTTTTGGGAGAAAGGGATCTAACTTTACACATCGAATGACTTAAAACTAACAGCTAGAGGAGGAAGAGGAATAACAAAAAATGTCAAGTAGCTTTCAAAGAACCTAACCCTAAAGCAATGCCAAGCAGTTAGGTTTTTCTCTGTAAACAGTCTCTGGGGTATTTAGTGTACCTCAAGCTCAGACAGCCCCAAGGCCTACTCCAACATTGATAAGGTGGCCTCACGTCACCAAGAGATTTCCACGTGCTTATGCAGGTGAAAGACTTAACTACATAGCTGATCAGTCAATGCCAGAGACAACAGCTTAGACATCCCCAGCATAACCTTTTTATTAGTCATTTCTAAAATTAAATACTCCGAAATTCTTTACAAGTATACTCTTCCTCCCCAGAAATGCCCAGTCCCAAAAACTGAGGTCCTAGAAACTTGACGGTTAACTTCCTGCTTTCAACCTGACCTCAGTCTAAGACTTTCTTTCCTGTTCCTCCCTGTGTCACCTCCCACCCCTCTCCAAATGCCCCCTAAGTTTACCCCACATGAGAAAAATTCTACAACGGGCTGAAATGACCTTTCTTTCCTCCAGGGGAATCCCCACTGGCCTCAGTCAATGTCAAGAAGACTTCCATCTCTGCTTGTAGCAGCAAAGTCTTGATGACAACAGATTCTTTCAAATAAAGACATGTACAGATGGAAACAATATGTCAGGAGTGACGCTCAAAGGAGTAAAGACACCCACTAAGTGTAGGGTGGGAAAAGATGAATATTCAGGTGAGGAAAACATCAGTATTAGAAAATCAGCCAATGTTTAATGATGGAATGAAAGATGTCTTCATAGGGCTGGCAGGAACCACGGTGACAACAGACAGCACATTGTCATTTCGCCCCACTTTGGATCACAGCCCTGAAATCAAAGGAGAGAGAGAGAAAGAGGTGCTGGCTTTTAAGCTAGTTAAAAATTTTAGATAACAAAGAGCTGCTGTTTTCAGAGCACTCTTCTTATACAATTGAGGAAACAACCCATGAAATAGGCTGCCAGTCACCCCTGAAACTAGGGATGACTTGACTCCCATCCTGATGGCCAACTTGGGGTTTCCAGATGGTTGGCACTTAGAGAGGTTTGAGGGACACTAGGAAGGGGTACAAAGAAGAGTCCAGCCTGAGATTCAATCGAGGGCCTAATGTTCCTCCCTTAGAAATGTCTTCTTTCATTTACTTACTCATATAGTCAGGCATCCCAGAAATAACTGTTGAGCAGCTACTGCTTGCCAGGAACTGTGCAGGTTCTGAGAATAAGGTGAGGCACAAAACAGACCAGGTGCCTGTTCTCAAGGGGCATATACTCTAGCACAGTGGTTCTCAAAAGTGAGCAAGAATCAGCATCTCCTGGAGTTGTGTTGAAACACAGATCACTGGGCCCACCCCCAGGTTCACTGTGTTTGGAGTGGAGCCTCAGAATTTACTTTTCTAAGAAGTTCTCAAGTAAGGTGGATGCTGTTGGTCCTGCTGAGAATCACTGTCCATGAGGAACAGCAGTTTGGGAATTAAGAAGTTGGTAAGGTGGCGAAGGTCTTCTCTCCAATTCTCTAGTGATCCCCCCTGCATCAGTGTCTGTGGCGCACAGCACCCAGACAGCAGCCATGTCTATCAGGTGTGCCTGCCTCTTGGTGGTTTGGAGCTGACTGCAAGCATTACTGCCAAGTGATAAGTCAGTGGGCTTTCTGCCTGCCTGTGCCATCACGGTCTTAGGAAATCTATTTCTCTTTGTTCTAGGTCATGTCAGGGTGTCAAAAGCTGCAGCTTCCATCCTGAGTATAATACAAGTTTGCCATTAAAATACGAGAGGATTCCCTAAGCCACAGAATGAAGGCTTTTACAATATCAATTCAACCCTTGTAAATTTAATCCAGGGTTATTTGTTGCACCAAAATCTCTTTACCGTGATGTATTACTTAGTTACTGGGGTTATCACAGCCGTATCCTAAAGTTGCATAGTACATAAAACATTTCAGTTAACAATGCGGGAAGGTTAACTCCCCCAGATAACCTGCAATCACAAGGGCTAGTCCAGATGACATGCCTCTGTCAGCTTCCACGAGCTATTGATGGTTCAATCAGTTTGTTTTGAAGGTAAAGTACAACAAAAGGGCAGTAAACTTATTCAGACTGTCAACAGGGGCTATCGGGAATGGGGCTTGCAGGTAAGTAATTCTGGGTGTTTTAAGGCTATTATCAAACAGCAATGGTTGAAGGAAGAGACAGCTACTAATAACACAGAAGGCAGCCATCATAAACCACTTTATGGCTGAAACCCCCGTCTATAAATCCTGTGACACCCGGAGACAGCTTCAGATTTATAAAACTGCTTGTTAAGCCAGGGCACTGCTTAATGAAAAGAGATCCGTCTAGGTTCCAAGTCTCACGTCCCTAGCTCCAGAGGGCAACTCCAATTTTCCTGACCTTCCCAAGGTGACTCAGTAAAAGCCCTGGGCTGGATGATGAAAGTCAGGGGCACTCTGAGCTGTGATATGGAAGGTGAGGTTATCAAGAGCAGAGCAGGGATCCTGGGAAGGTGTTTAAAGACCCATTTGTCTCTGTCTGCAAAGATTCTCAAAAAGTGAGACCCACATGCAGAGCTTCTCACATTTTCTCTTTCTTCACATATCCATTTTCTTAAGGGACTTCTCTAAAAGGAGACCTAAAACTGGTAGGGGGAGAAAAGAACATCAAAAAAGCTTTTTTTGTTTGCTTTTTCACTCCAAAATCAATTCTTTCTGGCCAAATCCCAATGCTCTGGCATTTTTCATCTGGACTTCAAAGGGAGCGGAGCATGCTCTTTCCTCCTGCCCACAACTGTTATCCCGGGAGAGCTGGTTGCTCCCCAGTAACACCACACAACCACAGAAAAGCTGAGGAGGACCACCACTGTCTCCTCGTGGGGTGGGCTGCCATGTTTCTTTCTTTGAGGAAACTCTACCCCCCAAATAACAAGTTTCCAGATCCTTAGGGAACTGGATGTGGGGTCACTGGAGTTTTCCCTACTTCCTTCCCAGTATGGCATTCTATGTTTTTCCCCATTATTTCTTGTCTCCTTGACCCCATGCATGAGGGCCAGGGAGGCATGGTGCAAGCCACTGATGCCCTACCTCAGCCCCC